CGGAGATTCTTTCGTGTTTGGATGTGTTAGGCGTAGCCATGAGGAAACAGCCGAGAACTCTCGCAACAAGATTGTGATTCATTCTGCATACTGTCGCTATCTCATTGAAATGGCCAAGCCATTCGGTTGTGTCTTCAACCGTGCTTTCGACCACTTCGCCGAACGTGGAGACTCAGAAGCTGCCATTGCAGAGCTCAACACTCTTGGTTTTGCAGGCATCATGACCGCCGGAGGACCAGGTTTCTTTTCCAACCACCTTGAGCGCCTAGACGCTATGTGCCATCATACCGCCAGCATCCAACTCGTTGTCGCAGGGGGGGTTTGCTGCCCTGAGATCCAGAAGCTTCGAAAGCGTGCTCACAACCATGATCGTCTCTCCATTTGGCTGAACGGCGATTGTCTCCGTCCCAGAGATCATGAAGATCCAGAGACTACCGATATGAACGGCGTCATGTCGCTGATTGATCAGCTTGGCCTTCAAACAACGGACTAGTTATCCCCTCATGACATCGGCAAGCAGATCTTCTACTGACTAGGGTCAATTCCAAGTTTTGACGAATGCCGGGTCACATCGCGTGTGTATCATATGGGAAATATTATGGAAGGAAGGGTTATGAATTTATGATTTATGAGTGACGACTTAGAAAAAGTCTGGAATTGCCTCGGAATTCACTATCAGTAAGAAAACCAACCCATGAGTCAAAGTGGGAGGGCCCCGAGGAAGATCACAAGAAATCTGTAACAATTAACAACCAGATATGCTCGAATTCAAAAGGCGAATGAATAAAAATCTGTGAATATTCAAATGCGTATTGCTCATTGCTCAATAGGTCCCCTTATTACACCTCGCAGCACTTGCATCTCTATCATCTACCAACTTATACATCACTCGTTCATCTCGTCGTAAGCCCACCACCGCCGCTGATCTGTAATTTCCTAATAACCCTGCTTCTTGCCCTGGGCAAGACCAAGGCAGTTGGCGATCTTGTAAAAGATGTCAACATTGTTGAAGGTGCCACTGAAAGTCTCCTGGCAAGGACCAAGAGCATAGACAGGGACATCGGTGAGAGAGTGAACACCCTGGGCGTTATCGGTGCTGATAGTACCATTGATGAGGAAGCCCTTGGGAGAGTCCTCGGGGTTGGCGTAGTAGTCATCGTCCTTGAGCTCGACGGCAGCCTCGCGGGGACCGGCCTTCTTGACCTTGTAGTCCTCACGGTGGTCAGGGACGGCAGCGACACCAGCGGCGATGGCGTATCGGGGCTCCCAGTTGGTAGGGAAGTTGGCGCCAGTTCCGTAGTTGATGCCCTTGGCCTTCTTGGTGTACTGAGACTCACCAGACTGAGCGTAGGTGCCGATGGCACGGCGCTTGTCACGGTCATCCTCCTGTTGGGCGAGGTACTCAGTGTCGGCGGAACCGTAAACACTGCGATTGTTAGCTATCTGATGTCGTAGCCATTGGAATAGGATTACTTACTCGAAACCGTGGCCGTGATCAGCAGAGACGATGATGAGGGTCTCATCAAGGATGTTGAGCTTCTTGAGCTTCTCAACAGTAGCACGGACAGTGTCGTCAAGCTCGAGAAGATCACCAAGGGCACGGTCGTAGTCAAGAGCGTGCATCTGCTTGTCGATAGAGGCAGCCTCAGACATGAGGAAGAAGCCCTTGTCCTTGCCACGGGTAGCAAGAACGTCAATAGCCTTGAGGGTCATGTCCTTGAGGCCAGGGAGATCAGACGCATCACCCTTACCGCCGGTAGGGTTGTTGTCGCGGCCCTCGAGGTTGTCCTTGTAGACGTTGCGGTCGAGCCAGACGGGGAGGTTGCTCTGGCAGAAAACACCGAGAGCACGCTTGCTCTTATCGGCCTTGAGGAGAGAGGTCTTGTTAAGAGAGACGGTGTAACCCTTCTTCTGGAACTCCTTGTAGTAGTCCTTGCCCTGGTAAGAGCCCTTGCCGGCGAAGAAGTTCTCAGCACCGCCACCGAAGAAGACATCGGGGCCACCGTGTTGGGTCCAGCTGTAGTTGGTCATGCCGTTGAGAGCCTGGTCGATCAAAGGACCATACTGTCCTCGGAGACGGGTGTGACCACTGAGAGCAATGGGGGTAGCATCGGCAAGGAAAGCGGTAGAAACAGCGCCCCAAGCACCGCCCTATCACCATTAGAATTTGAAAGTGAACTCAATTCGGAACAGACTTACCCAGACACGCTTGAAGACCTCAACAATGGTCTCAACCTTGGGGTCATCGAAGGGGTTGGGAGATGAATCAGCATAGACACTGAGTGAGTGGTTAGCTTTCAATCTCAAGTGATGCGATGGCTTGCTTACCCCATGGCGTTCACAGTGCTCTTGTGGCCAGTGTAGAGAGCAGAGGCAGAGTTGGCAGAGTCGGTGATGTAGCTGTCGATCGAATGGGTCATCTGGTGACCGAGAACGGGGAACTCGTCCAGCTTCATCAGAGTCTGGTACTTTCCGTTGATGCTCTTGTGTCCCAACAGACGAGCAGCAGTGATCTGTGAAACCAGTCAGTTTCTGCAAGCCGAGCCTCTCACATTGTGATTTGGCTTACCATGTTGGTGGTCATGCCATCACCAATGAAGAAGATGACGTTCTTGGCCTTTCGCTTAGGCTGAAGCTCGCGAACAGTCCACTCGGCAGTGGTCTTCTCGCCGTTGTAGTAGTTCAGGGTGACGGTGTACGTGCCGGGCTCGTAGAGGGCAATCTTGCGGTAGACCTTGGAGGCAACGTTGACAATGCTGGGCTTGTCCTCGTCTTCGGCAAATAGATCCTCGTACCACTTGAACTTCCATGTCTCGAGCTTGGGCTCGCTGACGCCAAAGGCCTTTGCAAAGTCCTTGGCCTTCTGGCCCTTCTTGGCGATGGTCACGGTGAACTTCTCATCAGGCTTTCCGTTGTGAGCAGCCTCGGAGCCGTTGACGGGAGCGTGGACCTCGACACGGAGATCGAAAAGCTGGCCAGGCAGGAAATCACTCTGGTCGGGGGGGAGAACACAGCCCAGAGTGGGACATGTGCCGAGACGCTGGTAGGTCTGAGCAGACACAGCAGCAATTGAAGCCGCGAGAGCGGCAATGGCATTGATTTTGACCATTCTGGTGAGTCTGAAACCAATTTCCAAGAATTGAGAAGCGGAAGCTGGTGGTTGGCGCGAGCTGAGGCAGCTTGAGAGGGGAGCTCGATAAGTTAGACTTTCAGAGAGGGCATCATGCTTTATAGCCGTCGACGCCGATCCCACGTGGATAGTTACCTCCCGGAAGACAAATTCGTCCCCGAGAAGCTATCCCATGTCGCGGATAGACAATTGGCCTTCCTCTGTGGGACAAGCTGAGGAGACTTATGATGAACTGATCTTGGTCTAACGTCGCATTGCATCTGGCCAATTAAGCTCAGGAAACGGTCAGGACAAACGCCCGAGACAGGTTTAGATCGGCGAGAGAGAGTACGGGCAGATCCAGTGTGTTGGGATGAAAAAAGTGCATCTGCTGTGTTGCATCACGGAAGGGATTGGCGCCTCATGATGGAGGACTATAGCACGTGTCTAAGTCGTGCCAGGCCCGTTCCTTGCAAAGGGACCCTGCAACTAGTACTTATGCTTGCCAGTTCTCTATTACGGAGCATCATGGATTCAAATCGTTGGATTACCAGCGGGGAGGGCGATGGACGCCGTTGGTGCTAGTCGAAACAGGTCAAATCATGATCCCTCATGTAACCCAGGTGCCATGATGAGCGTCCGTTGACATGTTGGTTGTATCTCCGATCCCCATCCCCCGATCCTTGGCTCGTCTTTTCCTGTCCCAAGTCGTTGACCGAGCGTGAACGCCACGTCCCGGCTCATGATATCCCAGTTCAGGTTCACCCGAGAGCACCAGTTGCAGCTGAGATCAGAGCAGAAAGACGACAGGGATTCTCGGCTGTGGCTCTCTCCAGAAGCTCAGATGCCGCTCGTGGGCGAATTGTGAGGTTCGATTGGCTCCTATACCCCTGCTCCCGCAGTTCCACAGATCCCCAGATCCATGAGAGCAGGCCTTGGCTAGCTTCATTCAAGCTTAAAGCTTCATCCTTCTTATTCCACTTTGCAGACAAGCTTGTTTCTTAGCATAACTCGATCGGGCCTTGTCGGCCGAATTGCTACTTGACGTCGTACCAAGTCTCCGGTGGATTTCTCGGCGTAGGTGGCGTAACACTCTTACCACTGGTGACCTTTCTCTCCGATGCTCTTGTTCATGAACTATGCGTGTCTGGTGAAAAATTGCAGAGTATCGAGGTAGCAAGCCTACTGTGGTGACTCAGTGGTATTTCAGCCTAAACTCTGTCAATCTCATCATAAATTTAGGACGCCGTTGACAAAGTTTATGAAAGCATCTGGATAGGGCATTGATTAGTCCATGAGTTGATCCCCTTAGTTCTTAAAGGCAGGTATTAAAAAAAAGAAAAAAAAGAAAAAAAGACGCACTGTCTACACTGTTGATGAAGATAAGACCAGCTGTATAATTCCGCTCGGAGCTGCCTCATATGGCTCACCGAAACGTGCTCCAAATTCGGCATTGAGTGGTTGGACCTGCAATTTTACGAGGCTCGGCAAAAACTTTCATGGTCGTATGTTGATAGACTCTTGAGCGTACTCTCGCTCGGCACGTGAACAGATCTTCTTCTTATCTTTTGTGGTGTTGCTGGTTCACAGGAAAATCGGGTGGATTTTTAGAATTGACCGTTTTCGCTGTCTATTCCGGTTCCAATAATCTAGCAAAATATGCGCACTCCCTAAGGCTCTATTCTATAAGTCACACAAGCCCACTATAGCCGTAATAAGATCGACAACTGCGTCAAGTGGAATCATGGTGATCAAACACCAATCTGCCCGGCCAGATCACAGCTTCTCTTGATCAACATGCATCAAAGGTGGGCCGAGCCAGATCGTCGGAATAACATCTTCGAAGCGACCATACCTGACATGACAGGAACGGCTTTCTACATTAGCTCCGTCACTTCTCCAAACTCGGTGCAACCTCATCGACGGGCAGTGTTCCATCGACAGCTGCCAGAGGTTCTGCAATGGCCTCGGGGTGGGGACTGGCATCGACCGAATCAAACGCTTGCCAGCTAGGCTCGTTGATCTTAGCCTGACCAGCTATGCTCTTGAAATGGTAACCCCTGGCTCGGGGTCTCACTCCAGTTCCAGCAGGGACCTCGGGCTCGTAGACAGTCAAGAATTTCTTGTGAAGCTCGTCAAACTTCTCGGCGCTCTCGTTTAGAGCTGCTCGAACGCCTTCGAAGAATGAAGTGAGGATGGCATGATTGTGGATTTGGAGTAGATTCCAGCCCAACATCTCCTTCGCGTTCAGTAGATGCTTAATGAAAGCCCGGTGGTGCTTGGTGCAAGTGTAGCATTGGCAACCGTTCAGTAGAGGCTGCAGGGATGTCGTATGCTCCTCTGACCACATATCGATACCCAGTGGCTGCATATCAGAGGACTCGGGGGGTGGGAAGGTGAATGATAGGGCAATGCCTGCATCGGAGGCAGTGTTGGCGAAAGGTACCGTGCATATATCGATACCTAGAGCGATCTGTCGCAGAATATCCTGGGGGCTCTTAGATGGTCCAAATGACAACCGCGGCAGAGATCCAAGAGAGGGATAGTTCGCCAGTTCAGGAACAAGGTTAACATCATAAACTGCAAGACCAGAGAGGCAATCTCGCACGTCTTCTGCAAGATACCGCAAGTAGTCCCACTGTATAGGGTACTCTACAGGCAATACAGGAGCAAAGATGGAAACACCCATCTCTTTTAGACGACTCTTGGGGTCCGAGAGATGAAAGAATTCATCAACCCATTCTTCGGTTCTCTCAACCATGCGAATTTGACGTTTTGACGTCGGTGTTGAGCTGGAGTGGAAGAGGTCAGCTGGAGGAATGGCGATATCTGGTTGAGTGAGTTCAATAGTCTTAGCGAACTCGGGGATAGTGAGATTGCGGAAACCGGTAGAGGTAAAAATGCTGACATGATGAGCACCGTTTCCAACAGGTGTTGTCACAGCTGGGAACCGTCTTGGTCCGAGAATCAGTGCTCGATCTGAAGGGAAAGCAGTAAAGCTCTGAAGATTTCTTGGTGTACCAGGGGGCAGCTGAAGAACAGGAGGTTGTGATTTCTCAAGAACTGTCCTCAAAGTTAGACTAACACTCAAAAATAGATTCCATATTCATACAGTCCTCGATTGCTAGATACGCGGCATCAAATGTGGTGTGCTTGGCGACATTGTCTGGAGTCAAGTGAGGAACAACTCCTCGAGATGCAACAGCGATGTAGTTTGGTGTCTGCATAATCCTTCGATTACTAGCGAATGCTAGACGACCAAGCCGAGCAACGCCAGCTTCAGTTGCAGCTGCAGAAGGCTTTAGTAGTTCAAACATTGTTAGTGTTGATTCTTTTGATGTAGGTTTGGCCATCTTGACTTGCGATGCTTGTATGTTTGTACAAGGAATTTGTGAGTATTTGCAGCAAGGATTGGCTAGATGTGGGGAGTGTGAGTGCGCACTGATACACTGTGCTTCTGCTTCCGAGGTTAAACCGATGTAAGTCAACTCATCAGTCAAGACGATAGATATAAACGGCATCAGTGGACGTAGATGATAATTGAATGAATAGTCAAAGAGACTAACAGTAGTTTGTAGCATACAGTGTCCTGATTATTAATCAGAAATTCAAGAAAACTCACGCCTAATGGATAGCATGGGAAAGGTGGGAGAGCCAGACTGATGGTGAAGTGGATACAATATGGAAGGTAAGCAATCTTCAACTTTCATCCTCAGGCCTAAACGGCCTAAGTAAGTCTAGTATAGATTTACGTGAGTTCATCTTAGATTAGTTGAAACTTCGATGAGCTTTCTTTTTCGCCTTGGCCACCTCTTAGAAAAATTTGCTGTCCTCTGAGGGTCACCAAGAAAAACATCCATGAGCAACATCAAGGCTCTAGGTACTTTAACAAGACGAGAGAATCTACTAAATGCAAGGATAAAGAGAGTCTCAATTCGTAGGTGGTAATATTTCGCGGCTTTCTTTACTTGGAAATCTCACGAAAGTAAAGAAAGTCATGGGATGCTCAGACGTATCTTTGATCAAAGTCTATTATTAGGCCAAGCGACTACTACATGGAAAGAATGAGTTGAGGGTATATAATCTACAAACAAGAAAGAAAAAAAAGAGTGGGGAGATTTCAGTGCCGGCCTAAAACCTCAGGAGTGAAAGAATGATCCATATGCGAAACTCTATGAGGTTGATCCCGAGTGTGCGGCCCATCATGATACCAGATGTCACAGCACTCGTGTATTATCGAGCTCAAGTGGGCGATGGCACATGCATTTTATCTCAGGTCCCTCCGTCTCGACTTTGTTGGGATTCCTCCTATAAGTCTTTGTAGAGCCAGCCTGAGGAGAATCCTTCTCTAAGCTCCGAGGTTCCGGCTTGGTGGGCTCCTTCTCGTCTTTAGAAACAGACGATATCGCGGCTCTGACCAACCAGATAATCCCGGACAAGGACAACAGGAAAACCACAACTCCCGCTAGTAGATTCTTAGTATAGAGTTAATACAGAAGGCTATGTTTACTTACCGGCTCCATCCGACCTAGCCTCCTTCAGTTCATTCTCATGTTCTTTGCTAAACCTTCGTGCAAAAGACTCTAGATCTTCTAGCTCAGCAGTCTGAAAAAGGGACTTTCGAAACTTGGCGATATCCGGGTTTCCTTTATCAATGGCCGCAAGACGTTGTTTGATACTTCCAGCCGCTTTGTACTCCTTCTCGAATCTTGCTGCAGAGGCCATGAGTTTGTCAAGTTTCTCATCCGTTGATAGGACACGCAAGGGTGACATGACTCGAGGTGGTCGATAACGTGTTTGTAGTCCTCGGGCTTGATACTGCCATTGGCGCTCTGGAAAACGTGCTAGGGGGTTTGCGATATGGAACCGAGATAATCTCGAGAATACTGAAGCCCCGGTACAGAGTACGGCGCAACTTTGAGAAAGTGGTTTCTGGAGAGTGGTAATCATGTCTTTAGGTGAGTGATAATTGATATGATGAAGTTGGAAATCACACGTTCTGCAGAAGAGAATATCTTTAAATATCACTGGAAAAGACAGCTTTTATCAAGATCAGGTGGCAATTCAGGGCACAGATTTATTGGAGCACCAAACCAACAATCTTGAACTTAGCTGCAAGTTACTTTGCAATTCTGAGGTGATGTTGTATCCACCATTAATCCTATAAAAAGTTAACGAAAGGTAGTAGAGACATCTCGACTGTTCGGAATGCCTGCAGTCCCAAGGACCTACAAAATTACCCATGATACGATGCCATTCATCCGTCTGTTTGTTTGCTTGTTATTTCTCGACCTGCGATGCCTGCTTTGAGCATAATAATAACAAAGACCTAAGAAGGCTCGATAAAGATGCAGAAGTTACACCGAAGTGAAACGAAATTGTGTAAGTTTCTCGTCAATTAAACTCGAAAACTCCCGAGACTTTGGGTGGATGCAACAACTGAACTGTTGTGCATGCGACACCCTGTCACTTCAAGATCTGCCATTATAAACTCCCCGACTTAGAAATACACGCCCTTGCCCATAATACAGTCACTGAGGAACTGTACAGCATTTAGGTGTCGGGCAGAGTCTGGTCGCGTGCATTGATACAACTTACTGAAGGTCAGTAAAAGTGGCGCACGCTGTTCCTGCTTCTTAGCGCATGAGGTGTCTCACGGGAACTAGGCACAGTACGTCCGGGCCGCAGGGCTGATGCTCAACCAATCGTTGCCATAATCTTTCACGGCTAGATACAGCGATACCCCAGGGTTACGTCTGACACCCATGTCTCAGCGATCGAGGTACACGATGTAACTGAGTGGACAAAGACGCTTTAGGCCTGAAACCTCAGTATGAATTGCCAAACCATCACCGACTCAACATCACCTATCGTCAGTCTCGTATCTCCCCGCACTCACGTCGGAAACGAAAACAAAAGTGTGACACGATAGGATCCTCACGAAACACCAACATCGATAAGCGCTCCCCATTCTCCACATTTCCACTGCATCCTTCGGCACCGGGTCTTCCGGAGCAGGCAAATCCGCCGAGCCAAGCCAAGCCCAGAGGCCATTAGCTCTCGTATACGCAATCCATTCCTCATACTTACTTGTATTTCCTTCTGTATAATTCTTAGTGAGCTCCCGGAAATGGTGAGCCATGAGGAAGACGAAGAATCACAACCTCTCATGGCTCGCACCGATTCCATAGACGTCGGCGTCGTGCCCGTCAGCGGCAGCGGCAGCGATTCCGATCGCGAGAATGCCCATCCTGATGCGCCGCTCGATAACGGAACGACACTCGAAGTCGATGACAGCAGCCCCTCGACCCCACGGTTCATCCAAGACGAGACTACATGGAAGAGGTGGAATTGGGTCCCATACCCCATTCGACGAGCTTCGAAATGGGTTGCGAAATGGTCTCATGGCCCTGTGAACCCTCAGCCTTTTCGCATTAAACCACTCTTCCCGGCTATCCAGGAATACCCCCTCGTCCTTGTCGATCGCATCATTCCAAGTCTCAAACACCGATTTTGGCTCGTCTTCTGCTATCTTTCCATCTGGGTCGTCACTTTCGCTCTCGTCAAACGCCGCGACACCATGGCCAGCGAGATCGAAGGATGGGGCACACCACAAACCATTGGATGCGGTGTTTCATACTGGGCCGCCGGGAACCTGTGCGGGCTGGATGGAAGCGACTGTCGCCCTTTCAATGGCAGTGGTTTTCCATTCAAGTGCAGGGCCAATTGCGAAAACTACCATGTTTTGAACCCCAGAGCGGTTGGGGACCAAGAGCTCATCTATGCACCCATGGTCGTAGGAGGGCCGGGTACCAATGGGTCTGCTGAGCCTGTGTACCGCGGAGACTCCTTCGTCTGTGCTGCTGCTATCCACGCCGGCGTCGTTTCGAACCAAGACGGCGGTTGTGGTGTTGTTGAGCTGATTGGCCGTAATGAGAATTTTGCTGCGTCTAAACACAATGGTATCTCAAGTATGGGATTTGACTCTTATTTCCCATTGTCCTTCCGCTTCGTTCCAGATGTCAAATGTTCCGCGATCGATTCGCGATGGGATCTGTTGGCTGTTTCAACCGTCTTTGCTGGAGTTTTGTCTCTCTTTACCAACTCCGCTCCGCTCTTCTTCTTCACCATCTTCACGGCCATCTTCTGGACTGTGGGTATGGCACTTGACCCGCCTCCATCGAGAACAGTTGCGTCTTTGTTCTCCAATTTGATTGGGAAGTTCCTCCCTGCAATGTTTTGTGCATGGGTCATGTATGACAAGATGGGTGTTCGTCGCACTCTCAAGGGTCTCACAGCACAGATCGAAAAGACAATATTGTGGCTCGGCGGATGCTGGGTTGGTGGAATGGAGAACTATACCCTTAGCTTCATCCCCATTTCGCGCCTCAACAAGCACGATCTGAACCAGCAACCAGGGGCCAGGGCAGCCCTTGCTATCATCATAATCGTGCTTGTCGTCATTGTCTGTTCACAGGTGTGGTTCTTCCGGAAAGAAGGACGCTTGATCAAATACCTCAAGCTCTACGCACTCCTTATTGGGGCCATCCTCATCTCCCTTACCATTCCGAGCCTCAATCTGCGGATTCATCACTACATCATTGCCCTCCTGCTTCTTCCTGGAACGAGCATGCAGACAAGACCATCTCTTCTATACCAGGGACTTCTCGTTGGGCTCTTCATTAGTGGTATCGCTCGATGGGGCTTTGACCCTGTGCTCCAAACCTCTGAAGCTCTACAAGGCGATGCTCAAAAGGGCTCCAAATTGCCATCAATCGCCGAGCCTGTCATTCACCTTGCCAATGGCACAGACACATTGTCAAATATCACCTTCACATGGAACGAGCCGCCGAGGCAGCTGTACGATGGGATCAGTATCCTGGTAAACGACGTCGAGCGCTTCCGTACATACTTTGGCGATGTTGATGCGGAGCGTAGCTTTGTCTGGAGCAGGAATGGCACTTTGGATTTGCCAGAGTACTTCCGCTTTGCATATATGGATGGAAGTGAAAGTGGAGATTATACCAAGGCCGGCATCTGGACAGCAGATGGCGAGTGGAACAAGATGAAACCTGGACCCTCACGGCTCAAGGCCCGCAGTTTGGACAATGCTAAGTTGGAAAAGTGATGCGGCAAGTTAGGTGTGAAAATTGCTGCGAAGATGGCTTAGCCATTTCTCGAACTTTTGCTCAAGGAACTCGGGAGACTGATTGATAAAGAATGTGAAAACAAAGGAAGGGATAAGAAACATAGAAAGATGAAGTTTGAGGATAACATGTGGAGGCGGTGTAGGTTGCATGAGACCTTTCAGTATATAGAGACAATGTTTTCCGAGGAGAAGCTTCCAGAAGACAAAGTTCGGGTCTAAGACGCCAGAGAAGGAGAAAATAGCTAGGAATAAGACAGCCGAAGCAGACAAGGCAAGGTAAGGTAGGTAGGTTACTGTCTTTTCCGATGAGTGCGCAAGCAAGACTTAGATTTTACAACAGCAAGCATGATAATGAAAACCCGAGATCACTGTTACATTTCTTCGACCCTCTAGGTCAGGCCTCTTGTGCTCTCTCTCTCTCTCTCTGCGCTACCTATCTGTGCTACTCTAACTACCTTACCTGGGCAAGTAGGTAGTGAGTAACGTCTAGACGTGATGGAGAACTGCTAGGTAGGTAGGTATAACCCGATTACTCCATCAGCAGTACCTATACTACCTCAGCAGCGGAAACACCTTACGTGCCATTCTAGGTAGATAAGGTAGGTTCCTACCACCAATTTAAGGTACTGACAATGTAAGACAGGGTGGTGCAAGCTCCTTCAACAGTGTTTGACGCTGCCTCTACAAACACATTTCCACCAACTTCGAAATCCAGCACTAGAACATCATCTTCTTATAAAGATCAATTGGCGCACTTTGTCTTATTGTCTCTATCAATCTAGAATTCTCGGTCTTCATCCAGATTTTCCTTCTATCACCCATCATGCCTGGAGCCAAAGGACGCAAACAGCCACGACCTCCTCCTCCGCCTCCGCCTCCTCTTCCTCCCATTCCTCCAACTCCGCCCAAAATAACACCGACCGGGTCTGAGCCGAAAGAATCGTTGGACAAAGACGAGCTTGCTTCTGGAGACTGTGTCTTATATGCTCATTCGGATCTGAAACCTCCTGATCCGTGCCCATATCACTACAAGCCCGTCTATTACTTCTTCTACGATGGTCTCAAACACCCGGCCAAGCTCCAGACGGTTCTTGAAGCCTCAGAGCCCCCCAAACTACGAAATGCCAGGGTCCTTGGATACTCGTTTGCACCGCGTGGTCGTTATACGTCACTTGTCGAAGGGTCCGGGGTCATGGGTAGGGCGGTACAAGTGCAATCTGCTGAAGAGGAATACAGGCTCAGGTGGCACCAAACCAGCGCTTACACTCTTGTACCATGTTTGATTGAGTTTATAGATGGTGAAGAGCCGAAAGAAGTTGCGGGATTGGTATTTATAGATGCTGGCGATCAACAGGCTTGGAGGACTATGCGATTTGATTACAAGGCATGGAAGTATCAGATGGGAACTCGACTCCCGCGAAATTGGCAGAGAAGCACAGTGGAGCCGAGATCGTAGTGTTATAGCATTGCTCGAGGTATATTCGCAGAAAAGTACCATACCATGGCGGAGGCTTCTCTTATTTTATTTGTTTGTATTCGTAATTCTCGACGTCTCTGTTTGTACTCATGTTTGTTGAACTATAGCATGTCGTCAACTGTGGGGGTGGTTATGGAGAGAGAGATGTTTGCAAGTGGATGAAACATCCATTGAAACCTGAGACATTGGCACTGAGTGACAAAAAGGCTTAGGTAAGTACAGCTGAAGCTTGGGCAATTCTGCCACAATCCTTGTGGAGATTTTGATTGCTTATTTTTGATACCTGATCCTGGCTGGGGGTTACTCATCCGCCTGAGTACCTACGCTATGGGAGGAAAGAAAACTCAGGACCTCCCTCGACCCTAACCGATAAAAAGACTTAGGTAAGTTAGCATAAATTGAGCCTAAATTTAGTATGAGTTTAGGATATCTTTCACTTAGTTTATTTTGACATCTTATATTAGGATCCGGTGTTTTCTTGCTCGAGGCTACGCTATTCATTCGTACAACTTCAACATCACAACCACCAACTTCATTACACTTCAACTCACATCAGCACGACAAAAATGCCTCCTCGAATCCCCACCCAAGATGACTTCTCCCCTCTATCAAGCACCCTCCCTCACACTCTTCACTTCCCCTCACCACCAGAATCAACAACCACATTCCTCATTCTCTTCCACGGTCCAGGCGACCACGATGTCCCTTTCGCCTCTTTCGCCAAGAACCTCAATCTCCCCGGCGTTCTCGCCATTTCAGTGCGCGGTACATCTGTCCTGCCAGCTGCGCTTCTCGGTGGCGATAGACCGGGATATCATTGGGGTGACGATCTCACTGTTGACCCCAGCACGGGAGACATTGCGGATGATTCTGGCTTCGAGAAGGCTAGAAACTTGATCATGGAAAAGTTGATCGGGAAACTTCTTATTGAGAAGTGCGGGTGGGAGATGAGAGATATTATCTTCTTTGGGTTTGGGCAGGGTGGTTCACTCGCTCTTGGTCTTGCAGCCTCTTTGAACAAGACTCCTCGGGTCACTGATGTTTCCGAGGGTGAGAGCACTTCGCCAGGTAACAAGAAGTTCAAGGGTGCTGTATCTCTTGGCGGACCCTTGCCGCTATCTATGGTGTCTACAGTCACAAATCGCAACAAGAGCAGCACAAGCGTGTTGGTATGCCAACTTGACGAAGACGCTGTCGATGCTGTGAAGCGAGAGTTTGACGATGTCAAGGTCGTGCAGTGGAAGAGACGTGAGGTGAGCATGCCAATGAACAGAGATGAGGTGTTGCCTTTGATGCAATTCTTTGCGGATAAGCTCAAGAATGAATGGTAGTTCATTTCACAAGGCGCTCAAAAAGAACAGGCTGTTCACAAGGGGGTATCATTATATTCATATCCAATCTCAACATCATGGCTCAAGAGTAGCCTGGCCTTTCGTCTCGGCAGCCTGTTTGGAACATCTCAGCTAGTATATCCCACTTTGCAGACTGCGCATCACTTGTAGCTCTGGCAACGCTGCGTAGGCCGCCACAAACAAACCGCAAGTGTCTATCATAATCGGATTTGATCTCCTTAAGCACAGTCGTGAACGGCTTGCCCATCTTCAAGGTCCTCGATTCATCCCTCTCCGCATCGTCCTCTTCATCACTACTATCGACGTACTTGGACTTCAATCCAGGTGTTCCAGGCGTAGGCGAAAGGTTTCTGGTCGAGAGTAGAGAAAACTGCTGCATCCGCTCTGTCTCTTTTGTCATGTTGACAGTTTGTGCTTGCTCTAGTCTGATAGCCAGGTCGAGCATATCGAGAAAGCATTCTCTGATCGGGGTCAATCTGCTCCCAAGGCATGCCTCGTCAACAACCTGTTTCAGGAATGCAGCATGAACTCTCATCATGGCATCGACATCGTGAGCGTCTTGCATGTCCTGCCTCATCTTAGCGCAGTTAGGTGCCAAGACCAGCGTCGCAAGATAAGTCTGCAGAGTAGTGCAGAACCACAGGAGATTATTCCGTAGTGAATAATAAAGAGCGCGTTCGTCCCAGCTATCATGATCGATCCAGTAATTCTCGAGGATCTTGCGCTTATGTAGAACATACAAAGCTCTCCTCAATTGCAAAAGAAGAGTAAATATAGCATCATACTGGGTGTTGCTGTCTTCGCACAGAATCATGCGAATCGGCCATGCCACCCGATAGTTGACTTTTGTACTCGGGAGAGCTGACTTGACGGAGTCGCGAGCCTTGAGGAGTGGCACCTTTAACCCCGTGGGACTGATATATATGGATATTCTCGTCATGTCGACAAGAGTTGTGAATGCCTCTTGTGCTACACTTGTCAGGCTATAGCGGTTGTTCCAGTTAGGATCCAGCGCATCTAGTTTTCCGAAGAGGCTGCTAGTCCACGCTTCTGTTGCGGCACCATCAGACATGAAATACAGCCGCTCCATAGCTTCGAGAGCAGACCAGAGTCCGCACTCTTCAAACAGCGTGTTCCTCAATGTGGTAGAGGATGTGTTGTATTTGGTCTGGATCCATGCATCAAAAGCGGCGTCGAAAAGCTCTGAAAACGGTGCAAGCTCAAGTCCTTTAGGACAAAGCGTATCATAGTGTAGTGGAGGCTCCTGAATCGTCCATTCCGAGCCTGAGGAGATCCAGCGGCCCAACCGCTTCAAGATGACGATGTTTTTGCCAGCATTAAAGATCTTGGCAGCTGCTGGCTGGAGGAAGTTAGGGGCATGCAATTTCCCATCGGCCGTCCTACGCAGCCTGAATTGTTCGCGCCAGATCTTGCTAGGTGATACTTGGCTCGGTACCTGTGATACGAAAAAGATCTTGTCGCCGGGAATAAGTTTGCCCTCTTCCATCCAGAGCCGAATAGGGCGTAGGTAAACATTGAAGCACTCGACAAAGATGCGTGCCAGAAACTCGTAAACGTCTAGCTTTCCGGATAGCTGCGCCATGCTTGCATCGTCAAAGAGAAGCTCAAGATACCGAAAGGTGCCTTGATTGGGCACATTCTGTATCTGAGCGATGATATTTGAAAGAGAATACAATGGTTCAAGCGAAGTTGCCAACTCTCCCTTGATCGACAATAAGCTGACAACCACATTATTCTCAGGCGCAACAAGGCGTGACTCTATACCTGTTGACTTTCTATCCAGATCATCGAGTCGCTTGGCCACAGTATCCTGGAGAACCTGAATATGCGATGCTCGTTGTGGCTTGCTGACGAAGTCTCGCAGAATGCCCAATTGCCGTCCTGCTTCGGAGAAGTAGCTCAGAAGGGCTTTGTGAGTATCCCATTTCAGATGGCCCATCTGGAATGCTGGGTTGACAGTGCCATTGGGTCCAAAGAGTGTCGTATCGAGACCTTGCAGCATGAATAAAACCTCTCTGACGATCTGGTATTCCGTTACAGGGACTTTTCGAGCATGGCCAGATGCGTCTGTGGGCTTTTCTGTCCGCCATCCTTGCGCTCCTCGAATCTCGTGCAGTTTCGTCATATCCTCGGGGCTGATGATCAGATCTTCGGCTGTTCGTCCAAGAGGGACCTCAGATGGGTCGGTGCTGGCCTCTGACTCACTCTTGGAGTCATCTTCGTAGAGCTCATCATCTGAACTGTCGGTGTATTTTATCGTCTTCCATATCGCAGGGTCGTCTTCCCATCCATCTTCCTTGGCAATATCCTCCCAGCGCAGTTCGAGCTCTGAATCGCTTGGACCGGTTTTCAGCGCATCTAGGTCGCTCAGTTTTGAGTAATATGTGGGTTGATCTGAGAGCTCTAGTATCAGGTATAGAACTTCGGGGTGGAAATTCGAGTGTATTTGTCGGAGCTGTTCCCGGCGCTCGACGAGCGCATCAGCAAGTGCATCTCGGCCATTGACGCGGAATCTCTCTTCTAGACCGTCCAGCTGGTGTTCGACTTCAAATTGATTCGTTCGCAGGTATGGGTGCGACTTTAGCCTTTGTAAAGCAGCGTCACGCTGGGACTTGAATCGAGGGTTTGTCTGAAATCATGAATACATATTCCAAAGATGTGATAAAAAGAGGTCATACCTCGGCTGACGAGCTAGTGACAGCCTCAACGAGCTCTCCAGTGAGAGCGCCCAGCCTTGCAGCAAATGCCATGGTCGTCTCTCATGTCTTGCGCATTATCATGTTGAATGGATGTTGTATCATGACTGGTAACAAATTAATTAGCGGTGGGTTCAGTGGTTGCTGGCGCGTCAATCGCGTCAACAGGGTCCAAGCTCCGCTACAATGATAGCTCTTATCGGCGCTGATTGGCCTAGCCGTGGTGACATCAGCTTCAATTATTCGAAACCCCTTTCACGTACTTTGAGCGTGAAACGATTCTACCAATTCAGAGACAGTTTTCTCTAGAGTCACAAGTTACATCCTTTTGTCGCTATAGTCGTACATTCTTTTCCCACTCATGGATATTTGAGCCCCGTCCCCTTCTTTTTTGGCGTTATAATCACCCTGGTTTATCTGGCGATATCCTGTCGAGCACAACATGACGGTTGCGCGGCCAGTTCGGGCGTTGATCGCCGGCGGGTGCATTCTCTGGTGTTTCTTTCTATGGCAGATATTCGCTCCATCATGGTCGTTAAGAGGTCCCGGTGATCGCTACTCCAATTTTGAGCGGGATCCCATGTTGGATCGTAAGTCGCAAAGAGCATCGACGCCAATTGTTGCTAACTGATATAACAGCTACCGATGAGCCACAAGGAGTGCTACATCGTACGAGCCCGAGATATGCCCACGATGCGAAAAAGACGGAGCGCATCGATGCGACGCTATTAGCGCTTGTGCGGAACGAGGAGGTGGATGCCATGGTCATGTCGATGAGGGATCTCGAAAGGACATGGAACTCCAAGTTTAACTACCCCTGGACGTTTTTCAACGATAAGCCCTTCACGGAAGAGTTCAAGAGGAAGACAAGAGCGGCTACGAAGGCGAAATGTAACTACGGTAGGTCCTCGTCTAGGAAGAAGAGGGGAGAAGAGAGGAGAGGATATGCTGATACTACAACCAGAAATCATCCCCAAGGAGCATTGGGACATGCCCTCTTGGATCGACGAAGAGCTCTTTCAAGAATCCGCCAAGATCCTCGAAAAGAACGGTGTCCAATATGCAAGCAAAATATCATACCACCAAATGTGTCGATGGAATAGCGGTCTCTTCTACAAGCATCCAGCCCTGAAAGACATTCGCTACTACTGGCGTGTCGAGCCAAACGTGCACTTCTTCTGCGATGTTGACTACGATGTTTTCCGCTACATGCACGATAACAACAAGACATACGGCTTCACCATCAACCTCTATGACGATCCCAAAACCTTGCCTTCGTTGTGGCCCGAGACAGTCAAGTTTCTCGCTGAGCATCCTAATGCAATCCACGAGAACAGCGCTGTAGCCTGGGTCACCGATGATATTCGTCGGCCTTCGACAAATAGAAAGGCTCAGGGATATTCGACGTGCCATTTCTGGAGTAATTTTGAGATTGCGGATATGTCATTTTGGAGGAGCAAAACTTACGAGGACTACTTCAACCACCTCGATAGTGCGGGCGGATTCTTCTATGAACGATGGGGCGATGCTCCAGTCCACAGTATTGCCCTTGGTCTATTTGAAGACCAGAGCAAGATTCATTGGTTCGTACTCAACCTTTCTCCCACATGCAGGAGACTAACAAAACATGGCAGGTTCCGTGATATTGGATATCAACACATCCCATTCTTCAACTGTCCCAACTCACCAAAGTGTAAAGGCTGTGTAACTGGCCGTCTCACTGATGGTGAGGCCTGGTTGCATCGAGAAGACTGTCGACCCAACTGGTTCAAGTACGCCGGTATGGGCTAACAAGCTTTGTCTCATATAATATTTTGACAAGATTTTATGCATAGAAAGGGGGTACAGAGTTTTGATTTCTGGCAATGTGAAAAACGATTTGGCGCTGGTGGGCAGCTATTAATGTTCAAGCAAGCTGGTAGGGAGTATCATGAGGACAATATCTTGTCTGTACGAATTGGAAAACGCCTTTGATGATGATGTATAAGACTCGAGAATAAGAAAAGACGCCATCTCGCTTGATCTTAAAAAACAATGGGTATAATGGAATGTCTACAAGGCTCCATAGACCGTCACCACGCCTGATGTTCCACCAACACAGAACTGATCTCCCCAACCATCCTCCCTCCACGCCATACAGCTCACAACGTTACTCCTCGCCTTTTCCTTTCCATCCCGGCCAACAGCCTTCTTCTTAGGTTCAAACCCTTCTGGCCCCCAAGCAACCGTTACCTTGGCCGCCAACTTTCCCGTCAACAAATCCCAAGCCCATATCCTCCCATGACCGTTAGGCGCAGGCTCACCGGGCATGGCATCGCCAACCACTACGTACTTCTCTTTGCCGCCCAGCAGCGCCTGCAGCTTGACATCTTCGTTCTTCCATCCTGGGTCAGTGTATGCGCGTAGACAGGAGCCGTTGTCGCGGTCCATCAGACGGAGTTTGTTGTCGAGGCTTCCGACCAACATGGTGCGTCCGTCGCGGGTGAGACTGAGACTCGTAACAGGTGCGCCTATCACATCGGTTGTGACTTTTCCCATGCGAATATCGTAGCTGCGTACACGGCCATCGACACTCCCTGCGAGGACTTCAGGGCCACGGGTGACGAGGCATGTTACGGCATCGTTGGCATCGTCGAGAACCTGTATAGGCTTGAAGCTGTTACTCTTCGTATCCCACAGCCTCACCGTAGTGTCAAAGCCTGCGCTGACAATTATAGAATCACCTTCTCCAGCAAAGCTCACACAATTAATACGAGCCGTATGGCCATGAACGTTACCACCAAATCGCTTGGTGGTAACAGCAGTGCTCACGTCCCAAAGAAACACGCTGCGATCACCACCGGCCGACACAAACCGTTCATTGTCGGCAGCGACAGAGAGGCTCAAGACTTCATAACCGTGAGCAGCATAAGTCTGAATCAGTCGACCCTGAGGAACAACGCTGTGACGATCACCGGGACCAGATGTGCTGGGAAATGGGTTGTAGAGGCGGATGGATCGGTCCGCAGAACCGGTGAGGATGTAGGTGCCTGGGGAGGCGGAGTATGCAAGGGCATGGACCGGGCCTTTCGGTGTGTGTTAGTGTAAGCGACAGCGCGGCATATGCCTTGAAATTGCTACAAGTTGGTGGGATATGACATGATATGATATGATGGGATGGGATGGGATGGGATGGATACGCCACACCTGAAGCCAAGAGCAAAAGATATGGGGGAACTGACCATTGGCGCCCAAAAGATGAGCAGATGGCTTATCTGGAAACCCCATCGCAAGGTATTGAAAATTATTGATATTGTCAAGTAAAGAGTGAGATGGAGGAAGCTCTGACGTTTCTGCGGCAGATGCATGTTTCCAGCGCATTACCTAATCAGGCTAGCTGCATATCTCTAGGTACTAATGCAACACGATGATTACCTACCTAGGTGTGGAGGTTGCTGTAAGGGAAATCGGGCTAATTATACGGATATCTAGCCACACTCCCCTCCCTCCCATTCAACCCTCGACCGTTACCTACTAACCTGCTGTACATATGTATGTACGAAAAAAAGGTCACTGCAGTGTAACCATAGGCCACCTTGCAGATGCAGAATTTCATGATGATGTACATGGAGAACATGCGAGGTTATTTGGGGACAATAAGTACCTCATATGCCGAGAGGCAAAGCAAATCTGTGGTACACGTATGTACGTGTCATGTCGGCTTCTTTTTGGCAGTAGACGAGATAGGAAGCTGGTATTACAAGCAGTACGTAGTATGTGGTATCGTGATCAAGTTAGCCATCATTTACAACCAACGACCAATATCTTACGGCATAGATTTCAATCCCGCTGCAGTATCGAAATTACAATGTCGGGCCCGGCCTGCCCTTTGCTGAGCATTCAGCCGAGGATACGATACCGCCTTGTCCCGTCCCGCCCCCCTCCGCCTTCAGTTCCACCTCTGTCTGGACTCTGAGGCCATCAAGAACCACTTACACAACCCACAGCTTCGACGGCCCCCAACTAACGAACCCTCCCCCCAAAGTCAATGCCGGGATTCCCTTCCCTCGAGTCTGCTCTCATCCACATACTTCGCTATCCTGCCAACCAATACTCTGCCAAGCCTCTTATCACAGGCTTCACGCTACCCTCGTGGGGCATTTCCGAGCGCTTGTTCCCAGCATGGCAGCCTCTATGCTTACTGAATTTGGTACCATTTTCGGTCGTGTGTGCTGGAGGAAGAGAGGATCCTTCCAAGATACGAGATCAGCGCCTATGAGGTTGTGTCAGTCGTGATCCCGCAGATGAATAGCCGCCCATCGAAAGGCATTCGTGTAGGCACGAGTTGCAGGGCCTTTTGGAAAAGAGACGTCTGACCGTGAACTGTGGGAACGACACATGGGCTTGAGAGAGTCCGGCTCTAACATGGGAAGGGCATGTCAGAGGAAGATCACACCGCACACTAAACATGGTGGTATCCATGAAACTACTCAGGTCCCTTGTCAAAAGCACTCCAGACGGTCTTGTCTCAGCCTGTAACAACCACCCGAGGTGATTCAGGTTGGTCTGGTCACTCACTGCAAACAGTATTTGCTCCGAAAGTCATCTCGTCTTGTCTTCAAAGTCCAACAAAGCGCTGGACGTCAATTATATTTCAACAGACTTGGTGTGGACCAGATGCCTAGTCATCTTGGTGCCTGCCTGGCTCAGAAACGCTCAGCTCACTCGAGATCAAATCTCAGAGGGTAAGACGCCAGAACTCCTTCCTTTATGTGCGTAGTAAGATATATCATACAATGGGGAATAATATAGAAAACAGTACAAGTCCCTCTATCCGGGAACAAACAAGCAACAGGGCAATCAATCGACTGGCTGTCATCGTATGCTATGTATATAACGCCATATCCCCCAATTCTGATGCCCAACACCATGCCTGCAGTGTCGTAAATGCAGGAAGATGCAAATGATACAAAAACGGTAGGAAAATCAGCGTCGTGTGGCCAGTGCCAGATATTTCATGCAATCCGCTTGCTCAAATCATTGTAGATAGTAAATGGTATCCATATCCCGAGGATACAGCTTCTCCATTGGGTTGTTGATTTGCCAACGAAGGATCTTCTCTTCTTCACGTCCTTCAGAGCTGTAAAAGACTCTGTAGCCTTCCATAGGACTGACCGGTTGGCTGCCTCGCTCTCGAATGCGATGCAGCATTGCGAGGCGTCCATCAATCGCCTCTTGCGCGTTCCGCACATTGTCCCAAATAGCAAACATGGCCTGAACCACTCCCTGAACCATGTGCACATTCTCAATGATGTCGCTTAGGTGGGAAAGACGGCCACTTGCTGTGAAAACATCAACAGCTTCGGTCAAAACCATGGCTAGAACAGGTGCCGGCCCACTGAGAACTGTCTGGCCTCCACGATGAAGTCGTACAAGTGCCTTGGCCATATCTAATACTTGTGTTGCATGTTCATAGCATGTCTGTATATTGTGGGATGTGACCTGAGGCGAAAGGTGTCCTGCTGCGAGCGTATGGCGACTGAGCTTGATCATGGCATGGTTGTAAAGAAGGTGCATGGTCAAGAAAGGTCCCAGCTCTCCTGCCAGCGCTGCAGACTCAAGATTCGAAGCGGTGAAAGCCAACCGGGAAGGCAGGACGTTGCGCCACTCTTGAATGCGCTTCAGGATTCGTTGGGATGGCTCCAGGTCTGTTTCCATCACATTCGCTCGTCGAGCCATTCTATAAATCCGGCATACGTCGTTAGACCAGATGTGTACCATCTGGACTAGGTACGCTGAAATGCCAAGCTCACGGTCTTGCGCGGTAGCAACGCTGGAGACGTAAGGGTTGAAAACAGGAGCGAATCCATCCATCTCACGCTCGAAGCTCTGACCGTCGGCGGGTAGGCGTATATAGATATCTTCGGCGTTAATCATGGCTAAATGATCAGGAAAGCGACCGTCAAGGCGCTCTAGCATGTAAAGAGACCAGAAAGTCCTTCTCCTGGCTTCACAATACCCAGCCTTGTTCATTCCGAATGGAAATGTGACGAGGCCCGCTTCCTTTGACTCTTCGATCTCGACGTTCAGCTGAAGGCAAGCCGCTGAAGCCACCGCCGCTGAGATCATCTCACTAGCTTCAGATGAGCGGGAAATTGAAATATAGTAGAGTGCCAGTAAAACTCTAGTCTGAACCAACTGAATACAGTTGGTTGTGGTGAATTTCTGAGCATAGTGCGCAACAGATGCGTACTCAAAAGCGATGGATTTCGGTCCGCCAGAAAGGGCAACACCGACAGCGAGAATGCTGTACAGGATCATCAAGTCCTCTGGCGTCTTGCGGTGCCCTGGATTTACAACCCATGCCTTGAACACGTTCTCGGGGATGAATCGCACGATCATGGTGCTGTCGAGGTGGACGAAAAAGTGAGAGATCACTGAACGAATAGACTGGGGGTCGGAAAGGGAGGGGTCAGTTCGCCAGGCTTGGTTGAGCACCTCTTCGGAAATTCGAGGGAGCTCAATTGCGGGGGGTTGAATGGGGACGTGAGGTCTGGGAGCCTCAACAGGCGGTAGTGCGTGCACTGGCTCACTCATCGAAACGTAACTATCATAACCCGATCGAAGCCTCTTGTGTGAGCCTGACTCTGGCGACTGGGGACGGAGAGTAGTTCGTGGCGACACCGGTGAACTGTTCTCACTCTCATTGGGTATGGTTGGCCCATTCAGTGTCCTGACATCGTCAAGCTCAGCCGGTGGTGTCGATGGTGATGTGTTATGCCCTCCTCGAGGCCTAGAGAATGTTAACAAATCTGACTTGGAGTGATTGATCGAAACAGAACTTACGCATTCTTGAACTTGCATACGCGACCAAACTTCTCGCACTGAACGCATCGAGGATAGTCAGGATCACATTTTATTTTCTTCTCACGGCATGTCACACATGCAATCGCGAGTCGTTTCCTTGGTTTCCCAGCCTTGGTTACACCCCAGTGAGCGTTTACTGCCTCACCATCAATTACGGTCTTGCAGTGACTGCCATCGTCGTAGAAGTAGCACATTCCCTCGCCTGGCACTTCAGTGGCCCTGACAAATCTAGGTAAGAAATGTGTTCCAGTCCAGATCTTGGGGCCCAGCCCATCCTTTGACGGAACACCATCAGTCGCCGTGGTGCTTGGTGTTGGTGGGGGGATTGGAGCTCCTTGTGAAGACCCTTGATCGTTATAAGTGGGAATCACACGTTCCTTAGGACTTGGAAAGTGAAGCCGAAATTGGTCCTGTGGCGGTCGAAATGAACCATCTCGAGATCCCAGAGAGTACTCAGATCGACTTTCCTGGTGCGCAGACCATCGGCCAGATTGCCCTTCGGTAACCGACTCCTGGCGGGTATGTTCGCCGTTACGGAATCTAGGAGAAGCTGAGCCAGAGTAAGACCGTGGGAGGCCATGGGCTGGGTGTCGGTCCGTGTCGAACTTGTTGTCGTAGGTGCGTGGTTGTGACAATGAAGGTGACAACGTGGGAGGGAAGTATGATGTTGAATGATGTCTATCACCAGATGGCGCACGAGTGCGATCCAGGGGAGATGTAGTAGAATAAGAGTTGTTGTGCTCTGAAAGGGGTGAGCGTGCTGGTCGGCCAGCTGGTGGTGGAGGTCCGAAGATACTACTCAAGGAAGGAAGTTGTTGTCGAGGTGCAGCTTGTGTGGTCGACTCTGGCCTTGACTGTTCACCATTCATCTTCTGATCTGCAGGCATTTCTGTTGTCAGAGACTTGTCATAGTTGTTCATGGATGGCGATGTAGGAGCTGGCGAGATCCAAGGTCGGTCCGCAGATGAATTAGTAGAATAGGTCGATGCGCCAGGGCTTGTCGACTCTGGAGGAGTATTTGGAAAAACCAAACGAGGACGAGAATCTATGCTAGGTAAGACACCCATTGAGAGGACTACTCGATATGGCTCGAGTGGCAGCAAAAGAGCATTTGAGGCTGGAGAAACACTGCTGTAAAGAGCTTCAAAGTCGAATAATGTAAACCGGCACCGAATAATTGGTGGGGGAGGTCAGCAATTATCTATCCCCCTCGGATCGGATACAATTATTACACCAGCGGCGCGGCTCTTTTTGGGGCCAGCGTTGCTAAGACAGGCCACCGTAAAAGACGCGGTGGTACCCTAATACGGATAGCCCAAGACCAGGAACAAGCTGGTCTAGGAAGGGAAAGGAGGGGATGTACCAATCCTAACACGATCCAAACTGTCGGGTTGGGCGTGATGGTTTAAGACTAGGAGAAGTCTACCAGAGTTGTCGGCCGATCCTCACCAAGTATGCGTGGTTAGAAGTCACAAACGTGCAGAGAGAGGGAAAGAGAAGCCTCCATCCGATGAAAAAACCAAGACTGTTGAAAAGTGATATAATGGAGAGAGTTGCCAACTTTCAGCATTGGCTGATTGGCGATGACCGCCAACCGCTTGGTTGACGACCGAAGCGCCTCCGCGTGGTAGAGGCGTGGGCGTGGACACTTTTGCTGGGTGTGGCCCTGGCTCCTTAGATTTGCGACAAGACGGATCAAAGAACGTCCAACGGAGGTATCCATCCCTGTCCCAAGTCTCTCAATCCCAGTCCCCCAATCCCGCCACGCGAAATGCGAGTCCCGGAGCGCCTCGTTAGAGGTGTGCCGTTGCCTACACGTGTACGGTGAATATCTGTGGCCTTATTTGCATGGGACATGATGGGTCCCAGGCTGGATGACTTGCGGATACTAGCGCAGATGTCGAGCGATCCCAGGCTGCTGGCCATCGACGCCAACGGCATTGTGGGTACAGTACATACATGACATGGCGTGCAAGCCAACCCAACGGCTCTCGCACACCCCTAAGCCGTCCAGTGCTTGACGATGATCCTGTCTGCAAGGATAGAGGCATGGGTTGCCGGGCACCGGGGGACGGGGCCGGATGGGCGTGCCACGCCGATTTCTGGGAGTGTGTGGCTGATAGATGGATAACTGACGGCTGATGAATTCCCAAGGCCCAGATTACCAGACGCTGGTGTTACGGCAAGCGACCAGCGGCCAGCGGGTTGTGGGTGATAGTGGATGAGCTCCATCATGCCGCGCGCGACACAAGCCAATCTTGAAGAACGGGGTGTATTTCAGCCAGAGGGCTCTCAACAAGAGTCAGGGAACCCGCCAAGGGGTGACGCTTTGCGTCAGCAAGATCCCTGATTCAGATTAGGAAACGGGAAGTAAAACCCGGGATAAGCAGTTGAGTAATAATATGCGTCGAAACGATACCAGTACCACCACAAATTTGTTCAAATACCCAGGCTAACAATGCCTCAACACCTTCCTCCCTTGGTAGCCAGGAGAGAGACTAAGCGAACCAGGGTCTGCTAGGAGAGTTCCTGTGAGCCCGTCTAGAACTTCAGCTCTTCCAGAAAGATATCCTGGTACGGGCGGCCGCCAGTAGCCGCGCTTAAACGCTGGAAACACTTTTTTAAAGTAGATAAAGTTTATGTCGAACTCTTTTTCCAACTCCATGTCGTGCAACGCAAAACAGTGAAGGACCGTACCGTTTGGCCTTGGCACTCTGTCAGAAACTCCCGCGTGGCGTTGGGTAAAGACTTTGTTCACTGAGTGTTGTGGCGCTGTTTGTGGAAACATGTCACACAGAAATACTTGGCTCCTGTATCCGTAAGCCCTTCTGTAAACCAACTCCTCACAGCCATCCCATATGCCATGCATGTACCGGCAGGGCACGGGTATGTAGGCAGAGTGCCGTGAACGAACAGAGGAATCGCCGGGTTTCTGAAGACCCCGCTGGAAAGCATAAAAATAAGCAACAGGCTATTTCAACTCAGCCAATATAGTTGAGTACTTCTTGCTCCATAAAAATGCTCTAGGTAGTAATCAATTTCTCTACAATAAGTGAGCAGGGGACGGAACAAGTGCATTATGCCCATCGAGGTGATTGTTGTCTATCGTGACCATAGCTGCGCGAATACTGTCACAGTAAAATGAATCGCATTGACCTCTGCTTGTGCTCGGAATCACGCCGGTGACAGTACGGAGTAGTCGAGTCAGGAAGAAATAAGGGCATATATTGACCCCTGAAGCTCAGTCCGCCGGACTCCTATGATCCCACTGTTGACCCAATTGCGGCGTCGTTTAGCGGCTTCGTCTGGACTAATGGATCTGTACCACCTGCAGCTTGGGGTAAGACGCTAGAAGATGAGCGAACATTCAACCTCGCAAATGCACTATAAATTATTGCGAAGCTGGACTGGTGACAATGATCTAACGGGAGCGATAAAATAGTCTCAATGCCCGATCGTCGAGCAATGCTGGTGGACTGTAGACAATCCGAAACTTTTGGCCCAGCTTGTACTGTCGTCGTCAGAAATGTATGTGGCAAGCATGGATAAGGTAGTTGGCAATTCAGCCTTTCAGGTACAAAAATGTCACACCTTCGGAGCGACGAGCTCATGATCCGGCTCGTATACTCGGGTAGGCGGGAAGGCTGACTGTCAGCCAGTATCCGTTGTTAAACGGTTCATATCTGCATCATTTCGTAATCCAAGCAGCGCAAGAATGATATCTGAACCGTTTTTAGTATATATTGCGAGCGCCAGGGTGGTAGCTGGAAATTAAGCTTGCCAGCCCAGTGGCTTGAGAGGGAGGGAATTGGCTCTTAGACTCTGTGATGGACTCATGTCCGAGGAGCGCTGCAGTGGATAAGGCGCTCGGCATACCCAATTAAGAGACCAACCTGAGATTTTGCTGGCAATAAGATGAAATGCCAAGGCCTATAACACGGGGGAGTGCTCGCGGGTTCTGATGATGCCAAATTTGGCAGGCTGCATAGCACTTCCTGGTCATAAAACGGTGAGCTGGAGCAACCGAGGTGCTGATTTGATGGCATGAGGATCTTCTCATGGTAAGACCGTTGGTAGCGATAGTACTCCGTATGCAATTGTTCTGACATAGTCCCATTCATCATAAGAATATCGAACTCTAAAAAGCATCGAGGCACTTGCTTAATTGTTGGATATTATGCGCTCACCCCCTGATAAATGATTTTGATTCTCGGTCGGCTGCCAAAGCTCATGTCGATCTCCAGGGCGGGACAAATAGACTTTGCACCAGATTTACAGAGCCGTCGTTGCGGCACCCGTGGTTCTATCGACAGCTTCCTGGGGAGATTTGCTTTTCGCGCAATGCCGACCATGACCCTAGGTTGCAGGTCCCCGGATCCATGGACATGACGTCTTGGCCGCGTGCGGCACATGGTCTAAAGGAGGTGTGGCATGTCACGGCAGTCGTACGATCTTTCGACGCTAGTCCGGACTGGGCGCCTCATCGTTTCGCCGTCATTCCAACAGTGGGGTAGGCTCGGATATATGTAGGCGTCCTGGGGCGTTGTGGGCGTGCTCAATAGCGTCAGAGAGTGTGGCTGTCCATTCCGGTAATTGTCAGCAGCAGCTTGGTATTACCGATAGCCTTGCCGTGACTGACTACCTACCTAGTTAAGTGTGGTAGCTAACTTAGCAGGAGGGCCCGAACGCATGCCGCACCGTTATGTTCGGCGAAACGAACGAACGACAAGTAAACAGATAGGGGAAATTCGAATGTGTAAGCCATGATGAAGCAAACCCGAGAGAATGGATTGCTCCACTCCGATAACACCCTTTGGCGGAAATAAAAGTATCAAATTGGGAAGCTTGCGAGCTCAAGTCCGTAAAGTCCGCGTATCCAGAGTCTGTCTGTCTTTCTGTCTGTCTGTCTGCCTGCCTTGGAAATTGGCAAAACAACGAGTTGGAAATGACGGTCGTTCGATGACGATTCAAATTTCGTTGTTTCATGTTTGGGACAAAGCGTAAGCCACCAACACATGTCATCGAGAACCCAGGTACAAGTGCAAGTGCAAGTGCATTTCACTCGGGTTAGGTCGAGATAATTGCCAGTTACCCTTTGAGGAAGGCACTACTACCAATCACGGCCAACCATGCACCTGTTCTGCCGGGATGGATCTTCTCAGTCGGTAAGGGACCTTCCAAATTGACTTCCACTTCCACTACCGACGAGTTTCTGCACCTGCCAAAGACTCGGGTAGCACGTGCCACAAAGCTATGGGAAAAGTTGATGCAGGGGTGCATCGTGAAGCTTTCTATTAAAGTTCCGACGACATGAGACATAATTTTCTACGTTGCGCCGAATATATTCGGGCCATGGTCAGAGTTGTATCGCTTCATACGGATCCATATGTCGACCAGGTACTGTCCAGCTGGTAGGTTGCTTACGCCGAGGTGGATTCGACGCGACGTCGCTTGCTGCAACGAACCAGCAGCAACACGGCTCAGATATCGAGGCGGTACGCACAGATACCTAGACAAAGCTCGTTGGACAGGATACGCACTAAATCCAACAATTACCAGGCATGCGATTGAATCATCTTGATTCTGTACTCATACCAGATGGACTGGAAATCGCTAGGCTCTACTCTACAGCAGGTCACCGTCAACCCATAGCATAAGCCGCTTGTCAAAGGAGTGCTCCAATGCAAACAAGGGAACACTCCCTGGCGCCCGCTGGCGTCGGCCGCCAGAGCATGGGCTCAATTAAAGCACAGGACATGATAGGACCTCGGTAATCTGTCTGTGCGAAGAAAAGCGTGTCTAGTACGTACCGTCTCGGCTACCGACGATACCCTGCCCTACTAGAACGAGCTGTCAGATCAATGATCACTCATCAAAAAATCAATCTCTCCTCATTCTGCAGAGGCTTCTACCCCGGATCCACTACCGTGTCGCGGATCGTACATGGGGCCCAGGCAGGGTATCTTTTTCGACTGCCTAATTCAGCTTCATCTCCGGCCTCTACCCGCAAAAAACACTGGCTGGTGTCCTTTTCTCTTAACCTTTCCTCGCACTTTGTTTGTCGCTC